GCAGCGCCTCTCGCAGTATCTGGTGATATTACACTTATAAATTGCAAAATTGCTAAAATGTGTTCCAAGTATAATATATTTAGTATTTAATTTGAGGATTTAGTAATATAATATCCCAATGACGTTGTAAAAAAACTTGGCATTTCAATATTAATATATATTTTTAAAAAATATCTTATTTAAAATTTAATAAACGTTTTCAAAAAAAAAAATATTTTTCAAAAATATATTTAAACGAGGATAAAATATTTATATACGTTTATAAATCTATATATAGGTGGATTGGATGTTTTCCAGAATAGTTTTAACAAATGTTCGTTAGACAAACTTTTATTCGAGTAAAAACCGGGCGAAGCCGGGTACATTCGCTAAATATAGTTATTTTCAAACGTTCGTTTGTGGCAGGATACTATTTCTTCAACTTCAAATTACCGAGTGGACCAATTAATATTGATTTTATTCAACTTATCGAGTAAATATCAAGGGACCGGGAAAAATTTCAAATTATTGAGAGTATAGACAAGTATAGATTCAGTAGGGATTGTATGTTTGCTAGAATCGTTTTAACAAATGTTCGTTAGGCTAACTTTTACAATAAATAATCTTATTACAATCCAAAATAAGCCTTATTTAAAAATAACATATATATGACATAATAAAAATATGATTTTTATTATTCATAGAATAATTAAAATTCTATTAATCACAGAGTTAAATTTTAAAATGAAAAGGAATCCTTAACAAAAGGAATATAACCTAATTTTACTCTTTTTTTATAAATAGATAATAACATTGTTAGTTGTATGTATGCAAAAACTGTTTGCTTTGAAAAATAATTTGAAAAAATAAATACAATTTTGGGACAAAAGTTATCATTCATTTTTACCATCCACGACTGCATGAATTGGTAACGTAACTAGAGTACGTCTTTTTTATGACATATATATATATATATATATATATATATATATATATATATATATATATATATATATATATATATATATATATATATATTGTTACATCATGATTAATGGCGTATTTCTTATATTATTTTTAATATATTTGAAATTTAAATTATATATTTATTTATTTTTATATTCTATGATATTATTTAAAACAGATTATTTAGATTATCATCATTTGTATTTAGGTACACGTGTGACTTCACGGCTCTCTTTGATGTGAGAAAAGAAATAAATTATTCTGGAGGCTACTTAAAGTACAGTTATCTCATTATTCCCTTTTTTAAATTTGTAGGATGGTTGAAACACGCTCGGGTAAGATGCAAGACCCAGCACAGGAGAGAATCAAGGCTGAAGAGTCTGCCAAGCCGCAACCTGGTGCAACAATATATATATATTAAGAAAAAGGCATCTCCTTATCGTGCAACTGAAAGTTGCTGATGGCTGGCGCCATCTATCGGAATAAATATCAACTATTCTCGTTGATTTTTAATTATTCCAGAATTGGCCAAATACCCATTCTTGATTAATCAAGAAAAGCTAACCACGGACGCGTTTCGGGCTGTTGGCCCTCATCAGCGTGGTGCAAGCTGTACCTCAACGACCAAAAAATTGGTCATTAAGGCATCCTGAAAAATCATGAAACGGGTAGTTAAGGCCAGAATTGCGTGAGGACGCTAAACAATGTGAAAAAATAGTATAAATGTAACATTGTACTGGGATAAGTTGATATTTATTCCGATAGATGGCGCCAGCCATGAGCAACTTTCAGTTGCACGATAAGGAGATGCCTTTTTCTTAATTTATGCACCTTATCCCAGTACAATGTTACATTTGTACTATTTTTTCACATATATATATATATAAATATCGTAACTATGTACATAAAATAGTTTAAACAATAACAGAAAATATATACATAGAATATAGCATATACTTTAAAATAAAAAAAATAAATAAATAAAACTAGTATACAGAAGCGTCATAACGCAATTTTGAGAATTCAGTGCTATTTCGAATCTATCTGATAGGAGGAATTTCCACAGTAAGTAAAACTAAAGACAGATAAGGATTTGAGATGGGGACTTGGTTCATCAGTGGTTTATCTTCCCAACGATCTTAGCCTATTCACCAATTGTCTAAATCCTCCTTTATCATTATCTTTGAATAATTCCCTTCTCAGCGAGTTAATATCAAGTTTTAAAGACTATAAACACAAACCACTAGACCAGGGGTCGGCAACCTTTGGAGTCGGAAGAGTCAGAAATTACTATTTACAAAATTTCAATATTTTTATAGAGCCACAAAATGTTTTTATTGACAACAATAAATAGTATATTCTCGCATAAATAATATTTGCGTATGGAACTAAATAGCCGCAGCTTTACATACAAAGAGCCGCATGTGACTCCTGAGCCGCAGTTTAACGACCCTTGCTCTAGGGTGATGAACAAAGTGCAACGTTCTGATGCGTAATTAAGGGATATGAATATCATTCTCCCGCAACCCTTTGTTAAATATTTATTATAAAAAAAAACTTTGATAAATTCCTTTGGGAATCAACCTAAAAGCTTTTAAAGTAAAATATTTGAAAAATGGCATTTATCTTTTTAAAAATGTTTATTCGTCAATTACTGTATTAAAGAATTTTGTATAATTAATTTATTCATTTTTTTTCCCAAAACGTTTGTAGTGACAAAATAGGATAAAAAAATGTCAATAAAAATAAAATGTTATGTTAGATGGAAATTTTGCCGGGAGTATACTGAGACCTCTATAAAATAAAGGCCACCTCTTTTGGAAGAAATTAACTTTATTTTTATAGATATTTTATGTTGTGTTTAAACTATTAATATTCAATTCAAAAGATGACCTACTCGTGTTCTTGGGGTATATAGATGTCACTATCTACCCCCCGATTTAAAAAGATAAAACACAAAATTCTTAAAATAATAAACTACAGTAAAAAAGCAATGTAAAGTATTATTATATATCGATTCCATTTTGAAGCAGCTCTCTTTATTAAAATAAATTAAATCAATGAATATATTGCTCTAATATAAAAGAAATAAAATAAACAATATATATCTTATCAAATAATATATTAAATGTCAAATTTTCGTTTAAATATTTGAATAACCTTGTTCACATTTTATTCAAAAGGCATCATGCGATAATTTTAATTGCTTTCAGATTTAAAAAAACTTTTCTACCACTTTTAAAACATTTAATTCAAACCTTGTAAAATATATAAAGCTATATGTTTCAAGTTTGATCAATATTTGCTTATTTATTATAAAATTTAAAAATAACTGGTAAACATTCTATTATGATGCTATATATATATTTGTTTTTTAACTCTATATTTTTCTTTTCTTCATCCTAAAGTTCATAAATTTCGTTTCTTCCATTGTTGTTATCATATTTTTCAGACAGGTTTTATTTTAACGCATTTAAAACGCTTAAGAAATAACAATGAAAATCTAATAAAATATTTTCTGAATATTTGCTCTTTAAAAAGAATAAATTTTAAATATTTTCTTTCAATGAATTTTCTTTGGCGTCTCTTATTTATGAGTTTCAAATGTGTTTGGCAACAAAATAGCCGCTTTGACACACCCAAATTGACTCCTAATATTTTTCAAAAGAGCGTCGATATATAAAAATGGTGCATTTTGAATTGTTCGCAGACGATGCCTTAAGCATTTTTCTTTTAAAATGGTTTGATAAAAAAGAGCGGCAATAATAAAAAATGCACAAACTGTATTTATTATAAAATTCTGGATACTTGAGGTATTCTTCTTTTTCAATAACTATATATACACAGAACAATTTTTTTTAATATAACAAAAATATATTTTATTTTTATTTCGACTTGTATAATTCTTTTGTATGAAAGATCGCCTGTTTTAATTTATATTTTTATATAATTCTCTATTTGTAGATATCTCTTTTATATAAGAGAAATATTTGAAATTGTGTTTTTGTGTGATCTCAATAAGAATTTATAAATGCCCATGATATAAATGATATAAAATATTAAATTAGGAGTAGATTGATGGATGGTTTTAAGGAATTTATATAGTTATATTTTTATGTGCATTAAAATAATTTTCAATTATACATATATATTTAGTTAAATATAATAATATATTTTAATAAATTACTTTTGTAAATGTGAGAGGTTTTCAGAATTTTTCTCCTCTTTTTAGATATTAGATTTATTTTAGGAGACAAAGAGATATTCCATTATCTGTGAGAGAGATTGAGATTGAAACTTCTTTATTACAGCGCGTTCATATAAGGTTGTATATAAGGTTAAATATAATTAAATATATAAATATATAAAAATGATTATATAAGGATAAATATATAAGTAAATAGATGTTAAAATATAAACATATTGATAAATATACATAGAGAGAGAGAGAAAGAAACCTGATAGACGATAATTAAATAAATATATATATATATATATATATAATAATAAATAGATTTTTAATTTTATAGTCCAGTTTTGTATTAAAATTATCTTCACTATTATGATCATTTAAATACAAATTATAAAATTTGTAAAATGTTATTAATTTGTAGATAGAGAGAGAAAAACTTAGAATCACTGTTATAATTTTGTTATATAGTTTCTACACTATATATATATATATATATATATATATATATATATATATATATATATATATTTAAATTATATAAATTAGAAATATTTATATAATTTGTTTTTTGACCAGAAGTTGATTAGTTGTTGTTTTTTATCATTAGAATTTATTTTTGTCTAGAATTGTCTTGAAGCCTTTTTATATATAACTGTTCGTTTTCTTTATTATATTTATTTAACTTTAAGCATATATAAAAGAAAATATGTAAAACGACATTTTAAAACTATTCCGCATGTCTTTCTTTTCAACACAAAAGATCATTTTTTTTTTCAAGGAGAAATAACAATTATTTCTAGCCTTTGGGATGAGGTATGAAAGGGTGAATTGTGAAGAGTAATGATAAACGGAAAAATTAAACTGTTCAGGTATGGGAATCGAACCCAAACTGATCCGCTTACCGGGCAGATGCCATGTCCACTAGGCTACCCTGGACATATTTTTCCGTTCGCAAATAATACATAAAGTAATTTGTAATACAATATAATATAATGCGGATTGTGATTGTAAAACGACATTTTAAAACTATTCCGCATGTGTTTCTTTTCAACAAAAGATCAATTTTTTTAAAGGAGAAATAACGATTATTTCTAGCCTTTGGGATTAGGTATGAAAGGGTGAAATGTGAAGAGTAATGATAAACGGAAAAATAAAACTGTCCAGGGATGGGAATCGAACCCACACTGTTCCGCTTACCGGGCAGATGCCATGTCCACTAGGCTACCCTGGACCTATTTTTCCGTTCGCAAATAAATACCCTAAAGTAATTTATAATACAATATAATATAATGCGGATTGTGATTGTAAAACGACATTTTAAAACTATTCCGCATGTGTTTCTTTTCAACAAAAGATTTTTTTTTTCAAGGAGAAATAACAATTATTTCTAGCCTTTGGATGAGGTATGAAAGGGTGAATTGTAAAGAGTAATGGTAAACGGAAAATAAAACTGTCCAGGGATGGGAATCGAACCCACACTGTTTCGACCCCGAACCCACAATTCACCCTTTCATACCTCATCGCAAAGGCTGAAATAATCGTTATTTCTCCTTGAAAAAATTTTGATCTTTTGTTGAAAAGAAACACATGTGGAATAGTTTAAAAATGTCGTTTTACAATCACAATCCGCATTATATTATATTGTATTATAAATTACTTTATGTATTATTTGCGAACGGAAAAAAAGGTCCAGTTTAGCCTAGTGGACATTGCATCTGCCCGGTAAGCGGAACAGTGTGGGTTCGATTCCCATCCCTGGATAGTTTTATTTTTCCGTTTATCATTACTCTTCACAATTCACCCTTTCATACCTCATCCCAAAGGCTAGAAATAATCGTTATTTCTCTTTGAAAAAAAATGTTGATCTTTTTTTGAAAAGAAACACATGCGGAATAGTTTAAAAATGTCGTTTTACAATCACAATCCGCATTATATTATATTGTATTATAAATTACTTTATGTATTATTTGCGAACAGAAAAATATGTCCAGGGTAGCCTAGTGGACATGGCATCTGCCCGGTAAGCGGAACAGTGTGGGTTCGATTCCCATCCCTGGAAAGTTTTATTTTTCCGTTTATCATTACTCTTTACAATTCACCCTTTCATACCTAATCCCAAAGGCTAGAAATAATCGTTATTTATCCTTTAAAAAAAATGATCTTTTGTTGAAAAGAAACACATGCGGAATAGTTTTAAAATGTCGTTTTACAATCCGCATTATATTATATTGTATTAAGAAAATATGTGTTAAATATCTCTTCCTTTGTTTTGTAAGTAAATATTCTTTAATGAATATAAGATTTTGTACATTTAAGCTATCGTCTTATTTAATAATAATCCACGCCTCATATATAGATTCGGCCACAATATGGTAGCAGAGCGTGGTTATTAAATAAAACGTAAATAAAATTTTAAAATATTTAGAAATATATAAAACTAAAGAAATGGAAATGGATATTTTAGCTTCACCAAAACTGGAATTGCTCACAAATAGTAATTATGCGATTTGGAGTATGAAAATAGAAGCTTTGTTAGATTAAAGGGATCTTTTTGATGATGTTATTAATAATCCAAATACTACAAAAGATGATAAAAATGACGACGCTTTTAATGAATGGACTAAGAAAAATAAACAAGCTCTTGGAATAATTATTCTTAGTTTGTCATCTGATCAGGCTATCGCCTACAAAGGTATCAAAAATGTACAAGAATTATGGAATACTATAAAACTCAGATATGAAGGAGAAGCTGAAGATAAATCTATGAATCCATGAACTTAGACAGGTTGACACAAATACAATTTTTAAAATTGATAAGGACTCAAGGAATTTATGGCATAAAAGATTGGGACATATTAATGACGATTACATGTCAAGAATGAAAAGGGATGGCATGGTCCGAGGACTCCCTGACTTGAGAGGCGAGGGTGGAATATGCCAAGCATGCAAAACAGGGAAAATGCCTCGCACACCTTTTCAGGCAACTTATGATGAAACTGCAAAGAGTACCTTAGAATGCTTACATATTGACCTATGTGGCCCCATGAAAGAAGTATCCTTAAGTGTGAACAAATATATGATAGTTGCTATTGATCAATATTCTAGAAAATATTTTGTGAACTTTTTGAGTTTCAAGGATGAAGCATCTAACAAATTGAAAGATCTGATCAATAGCATGGAAAATGAGTTAGATAAAAAGGTCAAAAGAATTAGAACAAATAATGGATTAGAATTTATCAACAGATCATTAGAATAATATTTTAAAACTAAAGAAATAAAACATGAGAAAACTTGTAATACTCACCAAGAAGTAATGGCATCGAAGAAAGGGTGAACAGAACATTACTCGATAAAGCCAGAACCCTCTTATCTGGTGGAGGCTTGCTCGTCAAATTTTGGGCAGAAGCAAAGTAAATATGTGTTATCTCTTCCTTTGTTTTGTAAGTAAATAACAAAACCTTATAATATCAAATACCAGATTGCGCTTCTCCTGATTCAAATTATATCGATATATAAAAACTTAAAATACATATATAGAAATATATAAATATAATTAATGGTTTTTGTCTAAATAAAATTTTCGAAAAAAAAACGAACTTTATTTACAAATCAATATATAAATTAAAAAAAATATGGACTTTGGAATTTTAAGAATTAATATATATTACAATAAATTTGTAAACAACAGTCAGTTTCTAAGCGCCCATCTGCACAGAGTGGCCAACGTTTGGACATCACATTTTCTATCAAAGCATTCTTTCTCAAGCGACCTTTATTTCAACTCATCCTCATCAATCTCAAAGCTTAATTTCTCATATTCCATATGATTCCTGTTTTTTTTTTACGATGGGCATTTCATAGCCATTTTAATCAGATATGCCTATTTAGCCCAATCAGTTTAGAACTTGGATGGGCCAATATAGTCAATAATGTGTTTAGGGTTGCAGGTTGAGAATTGTACTTAGTACATAGTGGGAAAACCTTATTTTTGTTTGATGAAAAGAAGGTATAGAGTGTGATGTTGGAGAAGTTATCTAACCCAGTGTTGGATCACCAGGTTCAGACGGCCGGCTACGGGTGGTGTCCGGCGGGGACTTGGTAGTTCTGAACACCACGGGGACTGACGCGGTCCCGGGCTACGTTTGCTCGGTGCGACACTCCGTCACCGGTCGGGAGGTCCGTAGTGGACCTGGTCGCCTTATTGTCACAGGTAAGTCCTTCCTAGGGAATCCGTCTCTTGGATGACTCCTCGTCATCTTGACTTCAAGACTCCGTCTAGATACTAATTATGATGAATTATTATAAACCAGTTTATCTAACGCTTTATCTAGCTATATACAGCTAATACGATAGGGGTTTGGTGGAAGGATGGTCTAAACCGTTGGTTTTCGACCGCTTCGACCCGTATTCGATTCCCGCATTGGGCACTTTCTTTTCTGATTTGAAAAATAAAAAGGTCCAATTGCCCCCGATTCTTGCAAGAGCCCAACCCCACCAGCGAGTGCAAGTAATCAAACGGGGCCCTGGTACATTTGTAAGTGCAAGGTCGAACTCTTTTGACATGTGTAGACATGTGATGCACTTACAGTAAAAAGCAGTCGCCTTCTTCTACCCACAATGATTATCATCGCCTGTACCACGTGTACTAGGGATATGCAAAAAAATTGTCAATAGATTTCTGGATAACTATAAGACATGCGTGTCAAATATGAACTAAAAGCGTTTAATTGCGAATCATATTTTTGTATTAATAACTCTTTTGTGTGTGTTGTGTATTTTATTTCATAATTCGTTATTAGTAATAAAAAAGAATAATTGATTTTTACTAGTCAAGAAAGTGATTTTTGTTTAGCGAAGAATTGACATGTTTTAAAAATCAAAAACGGGTTCCTTTAATTAATTTTTAAAGCATATATTCAACTTTTTTTACTATTTAGCGTTTTACAGAGAAATCCTTTTGTGTAAAACTTAGTTTTATTTGTGGACATCGGCAGATAAGAATGATTAAATGAAAATACAATTAATGCTTTTGCGGGCTCCTATTAGTGATAAACATTATCCCATCAATATCAGTTTAAAGTCAAATCTGGTGACCTCTTGGTTTAGTTGGTCCATTTATTTAAGATTTACATGGAAAAGATTAATTCTGTTGTCCTTCCATATCCATATGCCATTGACATAAGAGTAGGTTCATCCTTTTTAAAATCCATCTTCAACTTCAAGGGAGGGTGATTTCTCCTCTCCATAAGATCATGTAGATTTATCCCGGTCTGTGATCAGCCCCCTCATAGTTTAGACGTTATAGGGAGCGTTGTCCACCCATGGAGGTTCCATGTAGGAATTTTACCAGGAGATCTGAACCGATAAGCAAAGAATTTTCAGAGAGTATCTTAAAAATTAGAAAAAAACCTTTATGCAAATCACACGAATTTACATATGTACTTCTTGAGTATTTAAACGGATTTTACCAGATGATTTGACCCTATAGCGAGGCATTTCCAGTATATTGATGTTGACATATTTACATAGGTACCTTTAAATCAAGATTATGTTAATCAATTAAAAGCAATACACCTTAATTCTGTGTCACAATTATAAAATCCCCTTTTTAGCCAAATCACACGAATATACATATATACGATAAGTAAAGGATATGAAGCGTACGAGGATACATTTCTTTTAAACTTTAATGAAGATTCAAGCTTTCGGGCGAAAACAGCCCTTCTACAGGAAATTATAGAAAAACATTTTCAAAAAGTAACGTTTGTAAACAAAAATGGTATCTCTATTGATCTTGTAACGCGTGAATAAATCTCACATCCACGCGACCCAGACTATGATACATTGAATAAATCTTTGTTTTGAATTCAAATTGAATGTATCATAGTCTGGGTCGCGTGGATGTGAGATTTATTCACGCGTTACAAGATCAAGTGAGATTTATTCACGCGTTACAAGATCAATAGAGATACCATTTTTGTTTACAAACGTTACTTTTTGAAAATGTTTTTCTTTAATTTCCTGTAGAAGGGCTGTTTTCGACCGAAAGCTTGAATCTTCATTAAAGTTTAAAAGAAAAGTATCCTCGTACGCTTCATATCCTTTACTTATACTTATCAGAGGATTCCAACTTTCTATATACATATATACGGCTTGAGTATTTATACATAGATAAATACGAGAACCTTTCATATATCCAGCTGTGTGAAAGACCTCACAAATATCATATCAAATAAAATGTCCACCACATGGAGTCGCCAAATAGGGATTTTACCTGAAGTTCTGACCTTATAAGCAAGACATTTCCATTTCTTTGGCACATATTTACCAAGGTATAAATAAATCGAGATTATTCCAATCGTTAAAAAGCATTAAACCTTAGTTCAGTGTCATATTTTGAAATTTATTTTTTTAATGCAAATCACACGAATATCTAAATATACAAATTGATTTTTTCACGGATATATACACATAAATTAGAATCTGCTATACTTCTAGCCCTGTGAAAGACCTCATAAATATCTTATCAAAATAATGTCCAGAACCCGCAAGGTGGAATCGTCAAGTAGGGATTTTACCAGGAGATCTGACCCTATATCAAAGCATTTCTAGTATATTGGTGTATGTTAACCTATTTACATAGATATCTCAAGAAATAAATATGGTTTTAATCGACAAATAGTAATAAACCTCATTGTGTAACGTTCAGTGTTACAATTAGAAAATCCATTTTTCATGCAAATCACGCGAATGTACAAATATACTCGTACAGCTTGAGTCCTTATTTAAAAGCGAAAGCATAGGTAGAAATAGTAACTTTTATACTTCTAGAGAGGCGTGCATTATTTCAAAAAAAATATTTTTAATGCAATCATTAAAAGGCAGATTTGACATTTTTATACATGAATTGATCTTTCCGTAAAATTGCAATTTTTTTGCCCTACATAAATAGACTTAATACTTCACCAGGTAGAACATCTTATGGAAGGAAGACTATTCCATGACTACTCCATTTGAATTCTATGGATTCGTAGCTCCATCCACCCTATATGGATGAGG